TAATTCAGCATGAAAAATGACTGGTGATGGTTTTGATCTGCTTCATGGCCTGTCTCAAAAGAAGCTATTGCTGCTATTATCTTTGGGAAACTCGGGCCTTTTGGGTGTGATCTGTGCAGACTTCTCTCTGCCTGCACCACTGTGCCTGTCAGTCGGACCTGACCTTCAAAGACCTTGCATGTTTTGCACGCATAGGATTAATCTACACCCAATGCAATTCTCTTACTCCCTCAGGTTCCCAGGTTTGTGGAACAAAAACAGTTGTAACTCTTGAAGGCAGTGATGTGCTCCACAAACTTCCTCTTTCTCCACTGATTGTAGATCCTCAGTCTGGAGAGGACAGGTGAGGCTCTGGACTCTTCTCGATGCAGAAATGGATTTACAGATTTACAAGTCATCGGCACTAACTTCAGCGTAACTTAGGTTTGGCCTCTGCTAAAACAGGCAGCTCTGGTTTATTGATGGCATTATGCTCCGTAGCTAAACCCTCTATAATCTGTGGCTTTTACAGTTTTCCCAAATGGACTTTATTGTGTTCCTATTTAACTATGTCGGTTGCATTGAACTGTGGATTTACTCAGAGATTTGAAGCCAGAGCGAGCCACTGCAACAATATTGCTTAACTTCCTAGTCTTCAACAAGCAACTCCTTCATAGTTTCAGAGCAAAGGAAGCATATATTGAAAGATACTACATCTAAAATACACAGAATAGTTTGTTGTCCTGCTGTGGGTATTGTTACCTCAACTCTCTCAACCTCAGTGCTGGCTGGAGGGAATGTCTGAAGTGACTTTCCAGAACAAAACGCTTTGGAATGATAGCAAACATCACTCAGTTTTGGGTGTCTCACTTCTCCTTTCTGCCAGTTTTCACATTAAGCATGTTTTAATATGTTGCACTTATAAATCAAAACTTTTCTCAAATCAGAAGTCTGGAATATAATAAACTGCTAGGGACCTGATAGTGGCCTTGCACTAAGAGTTCTTGCTATGGCAATTTCTGTAAAAAACTTTCATTATGACCATTTTTTTTCTCAGCAACCCTGCTTTTTTGCAACTGACTGATGAACTCAGCATGGATTTGCCAGCTCTTTTTGTGCTGAAGTTTCATCAGCCTGTTCCTATGTCCTCATCCAGTATTGAAGATATACAGAGGCTCACAGGCACGTTATAATTGTTTTTTAAGGCTAAGTACTTCTGTGCATTGCTATTTGCTTTTTATTTCCCAGTGTTTTTTATGTTGCAAGTGGAAAAAGTTGTTTCTGGGGCAGAACATATTCTGTCTTATCAGCTGAAGCGTAACATATTAGCAACCAATGCAAACGGCAGAAGTTCTAAGAAAGATATGACAATTACGGACAAAGCTGTTGAAACACTCTACCTCAAATTCCCAATAGCAAAAAAAGGGGGAATAAGAAAAGAGGTCAATGGTTTTGTCTTCTCAAAACATTACTTTTTTTTTTTTTTTAATATTAGCTTTCATAACCTACAGTCATAACCTAATTGATAATTAAAAAAAAAATCACCTGGTTTCAGGAATTCAGATTTCTGGCTTGAAACTAGCCCCGCTGTATGAGTTAATTGTTCAATCTGCTCTAAAAGAAAAACGCAGTGAAGACTTGTCTACAAATGAATCTTGTTTCTTTGTGGTGAGTATAGTGGGCGTTTGACACACATTATGCTGTTGTGCAAGATGCGTATATTGAATTATATTTCCCCATAAACAAGCCATGTAGACTTACCAGAACCCAACAGTATTTAAAGTGCTCTTTAGGAAATAGTTCAAGTAATTACAAAAAAAGTATTGGATTCTTTCAAGTAAGTGAGTTTCTCATCCTTGTTAATGAAACACTGTGTGCTTGGCTCCTGAAGTCACACTGATTTGTCTGTACGTAACCTAAGTACTTATGCTTCTAAAAATTGCTCAGAACTTTAATGCCTTAAAAAGAAGGAAACTTATTGACTGGTGTGAGGAACAAGTCCCAAGAAGGTACTTACCTACGTTTTTTAAGGTCTTTATCATGCTGTATGTCACACTGTTTTAAAAAATGAGATTTCTTAATGAGATAGCACTGAGAATACTGATTTCTTTTAAAGGGACTGGCAGGAAGAAAAGTATAAAGTGTTAAAACAGCGACGTCAATTGCTGTCTAGAGACAAGGTTGCTTAACTGAAGGAGGCTTCTGTTTTAATAACTGCATTATTAAAAATAGTTAATTTTAGAATACAAAATGGCAGCTAGGATGCCTTCTGCCAGACTTATGTACAGGGCAACTACAAGACAAGCTTTAAAGATCTACTTTTTTTTTTGTTTTTGCTAGGTAACATTAATTTTGCACATCATGGACACAAAAGAAGAGGGTACTCTTTTTTTTCTATTCTACTAACAGTGTTAGCAGAGCCCATTTCCTACTTAATTCTTGGACTCTGAGGTGGTAGTACAGAAGGTAGTAGTAAGTTTACACCATGCTAAAGTAATGTTTGGCAAAGCTCTTATCTATAAAACTGGTAAGAAGGAATTAATCTTTCACTTCCATTAAATACACATGAAAGGCTCTGTAACTTTTCAGAAATTCCCTAAAATATTAGCACTTGCTGGGAGATTGTTTTACTTCCGAGTTTAAATATTTTGTTTCTAGAATAAATTAGGAAATTGCCCTCTAACCTTGAAATAAGTGTAGGGGAAATCCTTTTGCTCCACAAACATACAAGGAAAAGCTCTTTTATTCTGCTCTTCAGCTTTTTTAGTGTAAACCCTGCTAATTAACAGCCCTGCCCTGTTCTTAGGGCGACAGGTCCCATTTGGCATCCTGAAGTACATAACACAATACTGCACTTCTAACTTTGTCACAGAAGCACTGTCAGTGTGGACAGGTGACAAATTTTTTTTACTATCACTTCCTCCTCTACAAATGAATCATCAGGAGATATCCCAGTCAAACATGCTGCTCCAAAGAAAGTAGTAGTGATGGAGGGCAGAACAATATAGGATGTCCGAAGAGATTTCAGGCCAAACTGACGTCCTTTCTGTGCAACTGTCCAGCAGCGCTGCTGTGTTATTGGGAGAGTAAATCTTGGCTGATAGAACATATTCTATCACATTTCTGTTGTTGTAGAATATAACAGTGTCTATTATTATTGTTTAGTGTTTATTATTATTGTTATTCCAACTGTTACAGAATATTTTCTGTGGTCTCTAACATTTCTATAGCCTAAAGGACTCTCAGAAACAACTGGAAGGATTGATGGTACTTGAACTCCTGGCCACTTGGCTCTAGGTACATTCACCTAATTTGAATGCGTTTGAGAAGGAGAGAGGATCTCATTTAGCTTCTTTATCTAAGCATTCTACTTTTAAAGAAGTGCAGA